CTTGGGAAATTTCTGCACAATTTATTCTATAATTGCACATCAGGCACTGACAACGCCATACTTAATGTGAATGTCAAGTACAGGTTTCCTTTGTGTTTCGCCACTCCTAGAAAGGGCAGGAGTCTTGATGCTGTGGATGCCCCGTGTCAGTTTAAGCAACACTCAATAAGTTTCTTATAATATTCTCAACTTTCTTTCTAAATGATCATACATTGTAAGCCTGAAGGATACACTCAATCTTGGAACTAAGCCCACTACATTGTGGCATAGGAGTGAAAGTCATAATAATTGGGTTGAACCAGTGCCTACAAACTTGGAAAACTACGGGAACAATTCGCAAAGACAAAGACAAAGTTTCAGAACATCAGAATGTGCAATAAACAGACTTCAGGAGAGGGAGGTCATGTTGTCGTGATAATGACATTGAATCCTAATAATCCAGAAGTCCAGGCTGACGCCCTAGGACAAAAATTCATATCTCATCATGGACGTTGGTGGAATTTGAATTCAATAATGGTTTGAAAAATCTGCAATTAAAAGCTAATTTTAGTACTGATGACCAAGTGGAAACCCGTGGAGGTCAGCAAGGACAAAGGTAAATGAAAATGGGTCGTAGAGTAGGACAGGATATGTGTAACAGTTATTAATCAGCACATTTAAAGATGTGCATGAGGAAACAGGTCAAGGGAATGTTGGAACAATCAGGTCTGGAGATGGAGGCATGAATGAGAGAATGAGTTCATGTAGACCAAGAGGTATGGTACCAGAGGTCAAGTAGACACTCTTCATCTTGAAAAAGTATAAAGACAGTGCAACTTCATAGTCCTATTCAATCTTAAAGGTAAGATTATCTGTATCCCCCACATCATAAAGACTACCTTCCTCCATCTTTAAATCCACAACTGCGTCACTAACTCACCACTTCCCTCTAGCTTATTCCACTTATAGAGTAGTGTCAGACTACTTGTTCAAGTTCCAGGCTTGGATGAGATGCAACTTCCTTAAGCTAAAAACTGAAGAGACCAAAGCTACTCACTTCACCCCAAGACTTAGAAAGCCAGCATTCATGTAGTACTGACCCACATATATGTGGATGTTGTTGTAAATGGACAGCACATTCAGGAAAGGAGATACTTGAAATAACTTCTGACACAGTGGTGCTCTGTTGAGAAGTTGAAACATTGGTAGATAAATGATGGCTTTGATCTATTAGGTGAGAATAAAAGAAAATACAGACAGTTCTGCAACCTGGACAACAATCGGAAAGAAGGCGTAACTAACCACATCAAAGACTGCAGGAAGGTTACAAAATGCAAGGAGGGTGAGCACAATTAATGTCAGACAACATGGCCCAGGATTTGTAAGGGCTATAATGGTGTTGGGCTATGTTTAGTTGGTTCTAACTTTGATTAATCCTTTTGAGGTGAATTATGATAGGCTGGTATAACTTATTTTGCACAAAAGCAAGCACAGGAGCTGTTTGATATACGAAATAAAAACAGAAAATACTCAAAATATTTAGCTAGACAAGCAGCATTTACGGAAATAATTAACATATCGGGTACAGACCTTGCTTGGTTCTGAGTGCTTTTTACTTATGGCTCATGATTTCATGGTTGGAAATTTAACCATGAAATTTCAAGTATGATTATGAACTACAGTATAACTTATTGAAGCAAGGAGGCTTGGAACTTACAGCACCCTTCATGACCATAAAGACTCAAAGCACATTACAGCCAAAAGAATGCTTTTTGAAATGCAGCCACTGTCATGTAGAAAACATGGCAGTCGATCAGTGCTCAGCAAATCAACAATAAGCATCATCACTAAAACAACACATCTGATTAAGTGGTCTTATAGGGCCAGAGGGTGAGTGAGCTTCTGACAGGCCAACTTTCCTCCA